AGTAGAAGATTCTAAGAAGAGGTGGCAAGAATACACAGAAGAACTGTACAAAAAAGATCTTCATGACCCAGATAACCATGATGGTGTGATCACTCATCTAGTGCCAGACATCCTGGAGTGCGAAGTCAAATGGGCCTTAGAAAGCATCACGATGAACAAAACTAGTGGAAGGGATGAAATTCCAGTTGAGCTACTTCAAATCCTGAGAGATGATGCTGTGAAAGGGCTGCACTCAATATGCCAGCAAATTTGGAAAACTCAGCAGTGGCCACAGGACTGGAANTTTGGGCCACCTGATGTGAAGAACTGACTCATTGGAAAAGACCCTGATGCTGGGAAAGATTGAAGGTGGGAGGAGAAGGGGACGACAGAGGATGAGATGGTTGGATGGCATCACTGACTTGATGGATATGAGTTTGAGCAAGCTCTGGGAGTTGGTGATGGACAGGGAGGCTTGGCGTGCTGCAGTCCATGGGGCTGCAAAGAGTTGGACACGACAGCACCTTAATTGAACTGTTCCTTTATAAGCAAGCAACTGTTTGTCTCTTTGACTCCTAATCTTATGTAGGTAGAAGCTGTTTGACACCTGAGATAGGGACATCTTCTCATCTTGAGTTTTTTCCAGGTTCTAATTTTTCTCTGAAGCATTCTTAAAGTTTGGGCTCATTTGTGTTGATGCAGTCATGTGTGGAAAGTGTGAAACCTGAAGACTCTGCTTTAGCCCTAGGGGAGCTTTTAGAATACGATATGTTGATATCCCTAGGGCACAAGAGAGTCTAAGTCAGTGTTTAAACTGTGTTTTTTGACTCAGTGGGTAGAAAATCTATTTAGTGGGTTGCTACCAAGAAAAAAGAACTTTAAATAGAATATACCATACAGAATATATCAACAAGGTGTTGATAAATATTGCTTATTGTTTCATGAACTTTTATATATAAAATATATATGCACAGACATTGGGTAGTAACTAAAAAGATATTTCTTAGTCATGGGGGTGTGTCACAGTCAAAACAAAATTGGGTCTAGATCCCAAGAGGTTTTTTTGGCCATGCCTTGAATCACGTGGGATTATTTCCCCACCAGGGATTGAACCCCCTGCATTGGAAGTGTGGAGTCTTAACCACTGGATCACTAGGGAAGTCCCAAAGAGTATTTTTTTAAAAAATACTCATTCCCCTAGTGGACAAATGTTGCTTTCCAGAGAGGATTCAGTGGTTGAGTATATCTAAAAAACCATGTAGTATATCCCCATTTTGGAGATTTAACAGTGTGCATTAGTAAATTGTTCAAGATGTCTTGTATTTAAACGTTTGCCAAATTTATTTGACCTCAGAACTTAAGTAATGCCTTTTAACATTCTGAGGAACTAGTTTTTGGAGAAACACACTCTGGAAAACCTTGATCTGGTTTTGTTGTCACGAGGGAAAGTTTTATCTGTTTAGTCTGAAAGTTCTTATATAGGGACTGAGGATCGATTCCCTTTACTGTCATTGGGATAAGAGGGTGGCAGGTACCGTATTGTGGATTTCGAGGAAGGCGAAGGTCACGAATAAGGGGGAAGTGCTTTTCTCTAGAATCGTGCTGAGAGAAATTGCCTGTTTCTAAGTGGAGTTCTTTTCTGAGAAAGACACCATGAGTGACCAGGACCCTGATTGCTGACACTTTTTTCCTTACTTTTACAGATGTGGGATCTAGGAAAAGGCCTGACGATTTCCCAGCTACACCAGTCTGGAGTGGTTGTCTTGGTTCTTACTGTGTTGTCCTCGGTAGGGCTGGCAGCCATGTGAAGAGCCGAAGTTCCCAGCGTCATCATCCTGCAAATGATCACACTGACCTGTCTTCCTGTTTGTTACTCTTGTCTTTGGCCAGGGCAAAGTTATCCTGATTTGTTTAGACCCTTCTTTGCTTGCAGATCCCCTTGGAGCTCAGCAGTAGAGTATGTTACATAACCAAAGTGGTGGAAAAGGGTCCAGTTTTCCCCTTATTTATAAGGATGGAATGACTGCAAAAAACTCCCTTTTCTTGCCCCCAGCTTGCAGCCTACTCTGGGCTTGGGAGCCTTCTTTCTCTCTCCATGTCAGGCCTTGATTTATGCTGAGGGTCAGCCTTTGGCTCCTTCTTCCTGAGACAGTGGAAACAATGCCAGCTCTGTGGCCTCTGCCATGGGGACTGGGAGTGGGGATTCGGGTGCCACTGCCTGTGGGATGCTGGCTCAAAGGACAATTCTGTCCATTGGTCAGAGCCCAGGGTCTTTAGCACCCACACAGTGTGACTGACTGAAGGAGAGGGGTGGGGGTGGAGGAGAATTAGCCTGTCCCAGCTAGCGGGAGATAAAAAGAGTTAAGTTGGCTCTTGAAGCAGGTCTTGGGGAGAAGATATATAGCTTTTGATGCAAGAAGAAGATCCAGAAAATTATCATTGAATCTATTGCAGGTTATTTCTTTTCTTTGTGTTTCCAGAAAAACCAAACCTCTTACTGTCGTGTAATCCAGAATCACATGACATCTTTTTCTGAAACTGAATTAAAATTATTATTTTGCCTTTGACTCTTGTTGATATTTTGAGAAACCAAGACAGTGGCGATTGGGGAGGAGGAGCCAGTTTCCTCCGTCCCCCGTCTGGTCTCCCTCTGGTCTGCTCCTCTCAGGTGTTTGCATCCCTCAATCCTACCTTCCTCAGGAGAGAAGCAGTTTGTCTTTTAAGTGAGCACTGGAAAAATTATCAGGGAAGCAAATAAAAGTAGCTAGGGATTTAATATGCAGAGACCTCAGAGAAGAAAGGAAGTTAAGCTGCGGAGAGCTTTTAGTTTGTTATAAACTCCAAAATCCCACTGAGAATGGATTATAAACCCCAAGGTACAGATCAGCAAGTTACAATCCAGTGGAACAATGGAAGGGATGGTCAAGGGACCATGAGCTAAGTATGTAAATCAGGGGAGAGTAGAGGTAAGAAAGAGATTGTTGGAAAGCTGGCAGACATTTATGGTTTTATGAGAAAACTTGCTACTTCCTAATCTATATAGGCCGGGCTTTTGGGTCCCTAATTCCCTGTGGCAGGAGTGGTGTTTTAATAGTCTCTGGACACTGGGTGACTGATCTCCTTAGTTTGTCACTCTCAGCCAGCCAGTCACAGCTGTGGGTTGTAGAGAAGGAGCAGTGACTGTGATTGGTGTCAGTTGGAGAGGAAGACCTTGCTTGGCTGCCTTGTCAGTCTTCATTCCAGCTCCCAGTAGTCCTTGGCTTTAAGTGAGGATCTCTTCTCCCTTTTTGCCATCCTGGCCCTGAGAAGTCTTTGGAGCCTTTTCCAGCGCACACCGGGGCTTCTCTTGCGGCTCAAACAGTAAAGAATCTGTCTGCCATGCAGGAGACCTGCGTTCAATCCATGGGGCGGAAAGGTCCCCTGGAGAAGGGCATGCTAACCCACTCCAGTGTTCTTGCCTGGAGAATCCCATGGACAGAGGACCCGGTTGGGCTACAGTCCAGGGGTCACAAAGAGTCAGACAGGACTGAGTGACTAACACGCTTTCCAGGGTACAGCAAATGTCCTCTGTGCTTGTCCTGAGTGAGGCGTCCATGTTCACAAGGGAACAGCTGGGTACTGGAAGTGGGAAAGGTTTGGCAAGTGCATTAAGTGTAACGGCCAGTGCCAGGAAGGTGCAGAACAGGGATAAAGAGAAACAAATTAGAGGCTGGGAAATGGATAGGGGACTTTTTTGGTGGCTTCTTAATCATTCAGGGGAGTGGCAGAGTGGTCGTCATATATGTAATTCTGCCCCAACTTTCTACTTAACTGTCACCCTTTATTTTTCTTCTCTGTCTTCTAATCACTTCTGTATCTTCAGTTTTCAAATTATATTTGTATTTTTGCTTAGGTTTTGCTTTTACAACTCTTAGTTCCCCTGTGTGTTTTATCAGATCAGATATGATCTCTTAGACAAGGGTCATGTCTCCTACTCTGGCATCCTGTTGCTTTTCTTGCTCACCTTCAAATGCACATACACCTGCTCTACTCTAAATGGTTGTACTTCTGACTTTGAAGTTGTAGTTCATGCTCGGGATGAAAAGTGAGGGGGGTATGAGTGACAGACTGGTTATTTGAGGTTTTGTTTAATATAATTCAGACCATCTTCCTCCTGGTCTTGTCTTTTCTGGAGTAAAATCCTTGTTCTACCCCGAGCCACTGTCATGTTGCTTTCCCTACTTATTTCCTCCAACCCTTCTAATTATGGGTTAAAAGAGGCGGCCAGAGTGATCTTGGATGGCCTCGGCCTGCAACAGCTTAGAGCAGGGCTTGGTACCCCAGCCAGAGATTGAGGCTGGGCCGCAGCATTGAAAGCACCAAATCCTAGCTACTAGACCAGTGGTCACTGGCAAGGGCCCTGGCCCTTCGACTTTGCAGAAAAGAACTCCCACAAAGAAAGTAGTGAAGCAAGTAAGGTATTTATTAAGAGGAAAAAGTATAATACATGTGGATAGGCACACAGGCAGACTGCCCCAGGCTTGCGCCCTCAGAGCAGTTTGAATTACTTTTATGAGGCATTTCTTGTTGGTTTCCTTTGGCCAATCATTTTGATTTGTCTGGTTCACAGTCCATATGTGGTATATCAGGATTCTCTCATGTGAGTGCACACATCTCTTAGCCAAGGTAGATTCTACTGAAGAGGTGTTATGGGTAGAGCATCCCTTGACATTGCTCCCCGCTTTTGCCTACAAGGAGCCTAGGCGCATGTGTGGTCGGGGAGGTCTCCTGACTTCTGGAGTGAGAAATAAGTGGTTTGAGCAGGGCCCAGCCTCCTCTTTTAATTGTCCTGCTATTCTCATCTTGGAGTGGAGTTTCAGTTTATTGGGAATGAATCTCCAATCGCTTTACCTTGGGGGAGTTGCGGGGGCGGGGTGCCCATCTACCTCCTACCTCAAAAGCTGAAGAGAAAAATTTGAATTCAAGTCAGTAAAAGATTCAACATACAATGTTACTAACACAAAATTGTGAAGCAACTATACTCCAATAACAAAAGTTTTATTTTACAAATTTGCCTTTATTCCCATCTGTAATTTCCCTGATTAAGGCAGGATCTTCCTTAAGTCACTCAGTCTTTAGTCCCTTATGGAGTTGCAGGTTTGCATTTCTGGATCTCGGCTACATTACGGCCTGCACAGGGCAAACACGGGCTTCCAGATGGGCACTTTGGAGAGTTGAGTGGGCTTTGGGGACCTGGAGTGTGACCTGCAGAGGGATGTGAGCTTCGGAGTTGATCTGGGGAATTGAGATTTGAGGCTGGGGAGTTTGGGATTATGGTGGGACTTGGTGCTTGTTGTACAGTCTTTGTGATAGACTTCCTGAGTTTCTTCTGACTGTCTGGATCATGGGGCTGTCAGGGGTAGAACAGAAGAGACAATTATGTTTCCAGTTAGGCCTAGATCATTCTCAATGCATCTCAATTCTAAGTCCCCTTCTCCCTATCCCGTGGGCAAGAAGTCAGGTTTCAAATAAGAGTTAAACTGGTACCGTTAACCTCCCCTTGAGATCAGATCACTTTGTACTGTGTGGAGGGGGAGATGGGTTGGGTGGAGAAGATGTCCTTAGCTTATCCCTTCAGCCCGGAGAGGTTGCTTAAGGACTAAACAGGATAAGACAGTTGGTTAAAGGTTCCCCCTGCTGGGATTGTGGTAGTATAACAGTAGGCATTTCTGAGGTTGAAAAGAAAATAGGATTGAGGTTAGTTAAGTGGAAGAAGTAGATACCTTGCCTAAGATTTCAGGACGCAACCCATTGGAGGCCTTAAGTAAATCAGGATTTTTCTGTATCCATTTGGTGAGGGAGGCCGCACCAGCAGCTGTACGGGAGGTCAGGATCGCCCGAGCAGGGGGTATCTTCAGAGGCATTTGCCAGGTGCCCATGAAGGAGCCCCAAGGACTTGCCTAAATGGAAAAAGATGGGATTCCTCAACAGGGCTTCTCACTCCCAGTAACTGGCCTATTGGCAGGTCTGTTCTATTCATCTTGGTTCCATCTTTTTACCTTTGGGATTGTCATGATTCAAGACTGAAAGCATAACTTACCCAATCTCGTCCCCCTTTCTCATTTAGATGGCCCTAATTTTTTAATCCCCTTTACCCCCACTGGCTTAAACTCTACATTCTTAGCCTAAGTTTGGCAGGGTACCCACTATATAAGTGTTTTCACCTGAAGGTGTTCATTTTATACCAATCATTCATCAACTTAAGGAGTTCTGGGTGTTAAACCTATCTTATTGGCTGGAAGTTTGAGAGCACTCTTGTTACAATGTGAATTAGATTGCACTTTAATTTTCCAAGCAGTGGCTGCAGGAGATTACAAGTCTTCCCTGTTACTCCAGTTCTATGCCTTGGTTCTTTAACTTTCTAGATGAGAATGGAGATGAGTATCTCACCTTGGAACGGGGCACTGAAGGCAGCAGATGACCACGATCATTGGCAATAATCTGAGTGTAGCCTTCATGGGAAGAAATCCTCTGGGGTAGAGGTGGAGAGAAGAGTGCTTGTAAAGATGGAGTGGAGAAGTGGGAGAGAGTATCTGAAGGGCTTAAATTTGAATTAAGGGCTGAGGGAGAGGAGGCTATGGGAATCCAAAGGATGCTGAAAGAGTTTAGGTGCCAGTGAGTTACACAGACTGTGACATAAAGAGGGTGCACTGAAGCTGGAATACCTCTTTTGTTGGCTTGGCAAGAGACCAGTTCTGCAGATACTTGGGTGAGAAAGGTTTTTCGTACTGTGGAGAGAAAGATGAGAATCCCTGAGACTCAGGTCCCAAGCCCAGGAAATGATAGCTAGACACAGTTCTTTAGATTTGAAGACCAAAGGCATGAACATCCATGCTAAGGAAGCTTTAACTCACTGCAGAGAGGATGTAAGTCATTTTGTCTGTGTGCTGCTCACCATGAAGCCACTAGCCACATGTGGCTCTTGAGCCCTGGAAATGTGACCAGTCCAAATTGAGGTGCTTTGTATGTATAGTCGACCCTTGAACATCATGGGTTTGAACTGTGCAAGTTAACTTACAGATTAAAAAAAAAAATATGTACTATAGTACTACATGATCAATAGTTGGTTGAATCTGTGAATGTGGAACCCTGGATATGGAGGGCTGACTGTTAAGTTAGATGCAGATGTTCAATTGTGTGGGGATCTGTGCCCTAATCCCTGCCTTGTTCAAGGGTCAGCTATATAAAGAACACTGGATTTTGAAGATTTGGTACCAAAAAAAAAAGGGAAAGTGAAACATCTAATTATAATTTAAAATTTTGATTAAATGTTAGAAATAATATTTCGGACTTACAGAGCTAAATTAAATATATTATTAAAATTTACTTTCTTTTAAATGTTTCTCATGTAGCTACCAACCCACTCCAGTACTCTTGCCTGGAAAATGCCATGGACGGGCCTGGTAGGCTGCAGTCCATGGGGTCGCTAAGAGTCGGACATGACTGAGTGACTTCACTTTCACTTTTCAAGCATTGGAGAAGGAAATGGCAACCCACTCCAGTGTTCTTGCCTGGAGAATCCCAGGGACGGCGGAGCTTGGTGGGCTGCCGTCTATGGGGTCGCACAGAGTCGGACACAACTGAAGTGACTTAGCAGCAGCAGCGTGTAGCTGCTAGAAAATTTGAAGTTACATTTGTGATTCACATTATCTTTTTATTATGGTGCTGGTCTAGACCAGGGGTCAGCAAACTCTGGCCCATGGGCCAAATCTATCCTCCTGTCTGTTTTGAGATGGCCTGAGAAAGCTAAGAATTGTCTTTAATAGATGAACATTTGCAGTTGATTTGATAAAAGGGAACACTTTGTATCCCAATTAAGCAAAAATATTTTCTCATCCTATAAGAATTTCATTCTTTTCATTAATAATATAAAAAAATTATACTGTTATTATATTTTGAATTTTTTCAAAAATTTTATGGAAAATATTTTCTTTCATACCTATATAGTATCTTTGATTTTATCACTTGGCCCACAGAGCCTAAAATATTTCCTCTGTGGCCCTTTACAGAAAAAAATTTGCTGACCTCTGGGTTAGAGCCTACAAACTTGACCCAGAAATACTTATTACTTGTCCTTTGGGCCCTCCCTCCCTTGAGAGCCAAGGAGGTTTAAAAAAAAAAAAATACTATCACATAGCACTTTTTTTTCTTTTGGTCTATTCAGTAATCAGAATCCTATGGGAGGGGTCAGGCAAAAGGTGGACTCTGGAAGGCAAAATTAAATGTTAAAGAAATGGAAAAAAAGTGCTTACCTGGTTGGCACTGTAGTTAGTGGCCATGATCCTGCCACTTCCTGCTGTTTACCTTTGTTGCCTGGCAACCGCAGAAGGCAGCCCTTCCAAGACCGCCTCGCAGTTAGCAGGGGCTGCCTTTTGCTTCTTGTTATTCATTTTATTGGCTGATAGTGCCCCCAGTATTCTCCCCTGAAACTTACGTGCATTTTCATTTTAGAGATGTGAGGGACAGAGTAAATAAATATGGGAAAATTGGTTGAATAGCAGCCCTGACTTTTTTCTGGCATAACTTCCAGGTTCTTAGCATGCTTAAGAACTTCCAGGTTGTCTTTGACTGGGCTCTTTAACCACCCTTGCAAATCATGGAGCCCCAAGAGCAGTATTTGTTCATTGGGTGGAGTGGTGTAATGTACAACATACTTTAGAGCCAGAGACTGCGGTTTGAGTCCTTATTTAACACAGGAACATAGGAGATGTGTGATACAAAACAATTGACATCCCTTCACTGAATTTCTGTAGTCATTTGTATTGTGAAGATAATATAATAGAACCTTTACAGGGGAAATAAGGTAAAGTGAATAAAGTATCTAGATATTGTCATAGTATGGTAGGTGCTCAGTGCTGCCAAGACCCTCTTTATAGGGTCCACTACTTCATTTTCTCAGACAGAAGGAAGAAATGATGTTCTATAAAGCAGTTGATTCAGATTTGTCCCTAGAAAGAAAAACGTATCTTATCCTTTGTCCTTAATTGACTCCTGTCTCTGCCATCACTCTCTAGAATTATAGGGCCTAAGTATACAGGTGCTTGATGTTGGCTGGGTTGAGGTGGAATCCGGAGTTGGTGCCATGAGATTGAGCAGGGATGATGAAAGAAGGCTGTAGTGTGGAAAGTAACAGATTTAGAAGATTAAGTGGTGGCGCTAGGACACAAACTTAATACCTGTTGGATTAGGCAACCTCTCTGAGACTCATCTAAAATGACATTATCAGACCCATCTACTGGATTGTTAGGGAGAAAGTGGAATTGTGCTCTCTGAATTATAAAGTTTATGTGTAAGGTGTTAAGATGAAAGGAAAAACACTAAGAAATAAGTTGTCAAAAAAAAAAAAAGATCATTGAGAACCAGGACAGCATTTTAACAGATGATTGTCAATCCTTCTCCCTTCCTTCTTCCCCCAAAATCCTTATCCCAATCAATACACCAAGTACAAGAACACTCATACACTTCTAGGGATGGAGTTAAAAGCAGCTCTTATTTTAGAGCTAGTTAACAGATGGACAATATGAACTCTGGAAACGAGACTCATGTGTTTAGTCTCTGTGGTTCTTGTCACTCTCTAGAGTGATAATATTTTGGTCCCTAAAGCCATGATTATAGTTAAGCAAGCATCATCTCTCTTAGAACTTCTATCTTTAGCTGGTATGCTTTTCTGATAGAGATGTAATGTTATATGTTGCACTCTTATTTTTTTAATTAACTAGTTTTTGTTTCATTAAAAAAATGTACATGGGGAAAAAAGTTTCATATTTACAGAAAGGTATTTAATGAAAAGCAAATCTCCATCTGACTTCAGCTCCCATTCTTTCTCCTCAGAGGCAACTACTGTTATTATTTTCTTGTGTCTCCTTCCAGAAATGTTATATGCATTCTTAGACTAATGGGAGTAAGCTGTCCACATTGTTTGGTGATTTGCTTTTTTGACCATTTTGGGGAATGTTTTCATAGCAGTATATTATTTCATTTTAGGGTATATCGTCATGTATTTTTTAGTCTAATTTAGATGATATTTAGGTCATCTCCAGTCTTTTGCTGTTACATACATTGCTGCAATGAAAATCTGTATCTACCTATATATCATTATGAGTATAAAAATATATATATAGAGAGAGAAGCATATGTCTTTATGAATGTATGTGACTAGTAGGATAAATTTCTAAAAGTGAACTGCTAACTCACAAGGTTTATGAACTTAGAACACTAGTTCATTTCAGTTCAGTTCAGTCGCTCAGTCGTGTCTGACTCTTTCTAGTAGACAATATCAAATTGCTACTCAAAGACACTGTGCCAGTTTATACATCTGCCAGTGGTATACTTGAGTGCCTAGTTCTCTACTCCCTTTCCAACACTATACCAATGGTCTTCCTGTTTTTGTCCACCTGATAATAAGAACTGATGCGGTTACTATATGCCATGCACAGTCTTCTTTACTTTTTATTATATTTTCTCATTTTATTCTCACGAGAACCCAGGCCTAGGAAACAAGAGAATGTACAGTAAGGAGCAGAACCAGGATTCACTCTCAAGTATTCTAACTCTAGAGCAATCAGTTTTAACCATTATACTGTATTGCTTCTTAAACTGTAGCTGAAACATGGTGTTTCATTTTTTACATTTTCGTTTCTTTAATTATGAGGTTTTTTTCCCCCTTATGTTTATATGTTTTCTTTTTTTTCCCTGAAAATAGCCTTTCATGTTTTTTGCCATTTGCTATTGGGCTATTGATCATTTATATTAATTGTTTGAAACTTTATTGAGGAAATCAGCCCTTTGTCAACTATGTTACAAACACTTTCCTGGAGGTTTTCATTTAATTTTTGTTTGTGGCTTTTTTTTTTTTTTTTTNTCAGACAACCATTTTTCCTTTTTGCATTTTTTTTTTCTTGGGGATGGTCTTGATCACTGCCTCCTATACCATGTCATGAACCTCCATCCATTGTTCTTCAGGTACTCTGTTTATCAGACCTAATCCCTTGAATCTATTTGTCACTTCCACTGTATAATTATAAGGGATTTGATTTAGGTCATACCTGAATGGTCTGGTGGTTTTCCCTACTTTCTTCAATTTAAGTCTGAATTTGGCAATAAGGAGTTCATGATCTGAGCCACAGTCAGCTCCCAGTCTTGTTTGTGCTGTCTGTATAGAGCTTCTCCATCTTTGGCTGCAAAGAATATAAGCAATCTGATTTTGGTATTGACCATCTGGTGATGTCCATGTGTAGAGTCTTCTCTTATGCTGTTGGAAGAGGGTGTTTGCTATGACCAGTATGTTCTCTTGGCAAAACTCTGTTAGCCTTTGCTCTGCTTCATTTTGTACTCCCAGGCCAAACTTTCATGTTACTCCAGATATCTCTTGACTTCCTACTTTTGCATTCCAGTCCCCTATAATGAAAAGGACGTCTTTTAGTTTTTTGTGAAGGTCTTGTAGGTCTTCATAGACTGTTCAACTTCAGCTTCTTCAGCATTACTGGTTGGGGCAGAGACTTGAGATTACTGTGATACTGAATGTTTTGCCTTGGAAACGAACAGAGATCATTCTGTCATTTTTGAGACTGCACCCAAGTACTGCATTTCAGACTCTTTGGTTGACTATGAGGGCTATTCCATTTCTTCTAAGGGATTCTTGCCCACAGTAGTAGATATAATGATCATCTGAGTTAAATTCACCCATTCCAGTCCATTTTAGTTCACTGATTCCTAAAATGTCAATGTTCACTTTTGCCATCTCTTGTTTGGCCATTTCCAATTTGCCTTGATTCATGGACCTAACATTCCAGGTTCCTATGCAGTATTGCCCTTTACAGTGTCAGACTTTGCTTCCATCCCCAGTCACATCCACAACTGGGTTTGTTTTTACTTTGACTCCGTCTCTTCGTTCTTTCTGGAGTTATTTCTCCACTGATCTCCACTAGCATACTGGGCACCTACCGACCTGGGGAGTTCATTTTTCAGTCTCCTATCTTGTTGCCTTTTCATACTGTTCCTTAGACCATGTGGAAATCTTTTATTTGGATTGGGATCATCTGCCGTTGAACAACAAATTTACTTTGTGTCTAGAGGAAATGTATAAACTGTATAATTGAGGGCAGTTACCACCTTGAGCACTGGAATCAGATTGCCTGGATTAAATTCTAGTTCTGCCTAAATGTGTGACTTTGGATAAGTTAGTTTATCTTCCTGGGTCTGAGTGTCCTTATGGAGTAAAACGAGCATAATTTTAGTTTTGAGCATTAAACATATGTAACATGTCTAGTAGGTGCTTGATGCATAGTAAGTGTTCAATAATTTTAGCATTATTATTGGCTCAAGACTGCCCAGTAAAAAGAAGTACATATTCAGGTTACCTGAAACAGAAAAGGGGGGAGTTTATTATAAAGTTATAAGATATTTATAACAGATTTCAAAAGTAGAAAGTATAGTTTGGACCTCAGAGAATATTAGAATCTGGATGATAGAACATGATTAGGAAGGGAGATTTTTTTCCTCCATCTCTTTTTTCTCTGAAAGTCAGTCAACTGATTTGCTCCCTCACTGACAGCCACCATCCTGAGATAACTCGGGTTCATACCGTTGTTGCAACCTAATAAGAAAGGGTCTTAACTAACACAGTAGGAGAGAATGGGAAGAACAGAAAGCATGCTGGTTAGTTTCAGTGGAGAGAGACAATAGAAGGTAAAACTTTTGCTTTGAAGCAGTGGCTCTTCTTTTAAAAAAATAGGTAATAACTTTCCCACAGTCAGTTATCAGTTTTTGTGTAGTTTCCCATGCTTTTGTGCATATTCAAAAATAGAAATAATAGGGATTTCCTGGTGGTCTCGTGGTTAAGACTCCATGCTCCCAATGCAAGGGGCACAGTTGTTCTTTGATCAGGGAAGTGAGATCCCACATGCTTCACAAAATGAAATAAAAATAAAACAAATTTTTTAAAGGATAGAATAATACATAGAAAAATATATTTTATTCATTACCTTTTGCATATATTATAGCATACATACTACTTTGCTTTTAAGATCAAAAGATATATTTTGAATATCATTAAGTATTAGTGCATAAAGAGCTTCCTTGCTTTTTTACAGCTGCATAATATCACACTCATGATTTATTATAATTTATCTAACCAGTTTCCTGTTGTTGAACATTTAGTTTGCTTTTAAACTTTTGCTATCACAATGCAGCAGTGACTAACTTTGTACATGTGTTGTTTTTCATTGTGTAAGTATATTTGTATGATAAGTTTATAGAAATAAAACTGTGAAGTCAAAAGTTATGTGCAATTTGATAGATACTGCCAAATTGCCTTCTAGAGGTCATACCCTCTCCAACCATGTATCAGAGATCTTGCAGCCTTGATAGATTGGTTAGATCTCCAAGTTTGCTTTTATTCTGCATCTCTACCCAGACATTAAAGAAAAATTTTCATTGTTAGGTAAACTATCTCATTTAGTGCTTTCTAATTGGTAACAGTCAAAAGTTTCTATTTGAACTATCAGTGTATTTTACTTCCTATGGCAATTCCCCCACCCCTTTTTTTGTCATGCAGCTTGCAGGATCTAAGTTCCCCAACCAGGAATTGAACCCAGGCCCTTGGCAGTGAAATCTCGGAGTCCTAACCACTGGGTGGCCAGGGAATTCCCCCATGGCAATTTTTAAAACCAGAAGACTCATTAGTAGCCTCATTAGTAAAAACTTGGTTGTTGTTGTTTAGTCTCAAGTCATGTCTGGCTATTTGAGACCCCATGGACTGCAGCACGCCAGGAATCCCTGTCCTTCCCATCCCTCAGAGTTTGCTCAGGTTCATGTCCATTTAGTCTGAGATGCTATCTAAACATCTCATGCTCTGTCGCCCTCTTCTCCTTTTGCCCTCAGTCTTTCCCAGCATCAGGTTCTTTTCTAATGAATCAGCTCTTCGCATCAAGTAGCCAAAGGATTGGAGCTTCAGCTTCTCAAGAGTCTTCTCCAGCACCACAATCCTAAAGCATCAGTTCTTCGGCACTTAGCTTTCTTTATGGTACAACTCTCACATTTATACATGACTACTAGAAAAACTATAACTTTGATTATATGTATCTTTGTTGGCAGAGTGATGTCTCTACTTTTTATTATGCTATCTAGGTTTGTCATAGCTTTTCTTCCAAGGAGCAAGCATCTTTTAATTTCATGGCTGCAGTTACCTTCCACAGTGATATTGGAACCCAAGAAAATAAAATCTGTCACTGCTTCCACTT